GCAGGGGACCACACAGTTTGTCCTTTTAGTTTGTTAGTCTTTCACTTTGCAGGATTTTTTTTAAGGCTCACCTTGGTCGTTCATATATTACAGGCTCTTGATTGTGAAAAAGTCCTCTAATTTCTGACCGTTTGATCATTTTCTTGCTGGTTCTGGTTACTGAACTACCGTGATTGGGCCCATCATAGCACATTCTTAGTACCTTAGCCGACAAGTGACCATGCGCCGACTTGCCCAATTTTGCAAGCTGAGGTTTGAATGTTTTTCATCATCTATTACTCCACTCTTCCCCGAAATTGATGTGGATTATCCTCTAACAACACAATCTCAGTCATTTTAGCTTCTCATAGGTAATTGCTTATTGCAACAACAAAAAACAAGCCACGGCGCTGCCTACCTGTAAGATTATACATCAGTAATGCTATGCTCTCAGAAAGCACCAAAATTTATGGCTGACTCATGACTAAAATAAAAACTGTTTTGATACATTTAGACATTCAGTGGCGCTGCAGTGAAAAAAAAATTCATACTTGTTTAATTTTGTTTGACAAAGACAGAAAAATAAACCAAGTCTTCTGAATGTCTCGAGTTTGGGATTGACGGATCTGACCAATGGCTGCACGTTAGTGTGGTGGTCAGCATTGTTCCTGCCTGCGATCCCTGCCGGGTCATGCCAGTGGGGCTGTTTGCATGATCTGTTCTGCATGTGTGAGTTCTCTACAGCTCGTGTGGATCCCTCCAACTGTCCAAAAACATCCATGTTGGGTTAATTAGTGTCTGCAGATTCTCCTTGAGGGTGAGTTTGAGCGTGCACATTTGTTTGTCTCATATATCAGTTGCCCTATGAAGGCACTGGTGTGTACCCCGCCTCTTCTTCTGACTGTGCGGAGGGTTGCGTACACAATTGCGTACACAAAAGTCGTACTTTCGACTTTGTTCTTGGTTTTTGTTTTTTTGTAGTTTTAGTAATCTTTATCATCTGTGGTTTATTTGTGCTTTTTATTAGATTATTCTGTTACCAGTTATTTGGTTCATTTGTCCTTTTACTGGTTTCCTGCTCCTTTCAGTTTTCACCATAAGTCACTGCAGTTTTTTTACCTCCTGGTCATTAACTCAGCTCTCCTCACTTGTGCTCTCTAACCTCGGCTGTCAACTCACTAATCACCCTCTCCTCAGATGCTCTCCGTTCGTTGTCTGTTGCTGTACACACGCTTCTGTGAGTTTGCTACTGATACCGGTTGTGTCCTGGCTCCTTGTCCTGGTTCCTTGTGTTCAGCTCCATAATAATTTTTCCTCATTGATATCTTGGTCCTCTCCTTTCACAGTTTGAGTTTATTTTTTTGATCTTCTGGTCCAGCTGTGCTCATTGTTGTCCCTTTCCTTGATAGATGTCAATTTTCTCCTAGTTTCTTTTGTCCATTAGTTCTGTGTCTGCATCTGGGTCCAACTGCACTCCCCACCGTGAAAGGAATGTTTATAAAATGGATGATATGAAAAAAGAGAACAATTATGGTAAAGATTAGTATAACTGTATTGGAAGAGGGATGATTTCATCAGTGTTAAGCCTTTAAGTGTGGGGAGAGTTCTGTTATAGTCTAAATAAATATGAAGACTCTTTGATCCCATCTTTTTGGCTCTTGGTTGGATCTGTGACAAACATAAGCAGAAGGTGTTTTTTTTTCTTTTTAATTTAAATTGTTTGGAAAGAGCTCAAAGGACATTAAGCTCATCTCTGAAACGAGTTCATCAGTGAAATGTGAAAACCAATATCCGGCTATGAATGTCCAGATGAATTTCTCCCAGTAAAAATCTGGTAATTAAAATATCAAGTCATCTATGTTTCACTCAAAAACAACTCTCATCAAATTTGTTTTTCTTGCGACATCCAAACATGTAATTTCCTGGAAGCAAACATGCCTTCTTTGGGCTTGCCGCTGTAATGGTTAGCCACCTGCAAAATGATCCACTTAATCGGGCGGTCAGCTCTCATCCGCCAGACTTGGACTACTAAAAAAGGGAGTGACAGTCACTTGCTCATCATCTAGCGTGGGTGTTCTCCATCTGCATGTCCTGTGTGAGTCACATCAAAGTCAGCAGCAGTCTCGTTGTGAACTCCACCTCACAAGAAAAAGCACAACTGATGTGTTGCTGGGTCTGAACTGAGGGGAAACCCAAATCCTGCACAGAGCATAAACAGCCAGATTCCTTGATAATTAGGAATCAAAGGCAGACTAAAATTCGTCCGATGCTTTTGCTGTGCTGATGCAGAATTGTGGGTGGTCAACCATGAGGCTGAAAGTCTTCCTGGATGGTGTGATCCATTAACAGGAACTAAGGGTCGAAAAAAAAACCTCAATGGCTTTTATCACAAGCCAAGAATTTGATTATGAATTTGGATTGCATACAGTGCTTAAAATTATGCATCTAAACCAGCTAAATTTTGTATATCTTACTGTTTTGTCTCATTTAACACATAGTGTATTGGATTTGGCACAACTCAACCACCTGATTTCAAACACTGTAAAACTCATCAAAAAACAAAGAAAATCTTGAGTCAGAGTTTGGAACTACACAGCTAATCCGAATTAAAATGTAAGGGGCATGAATAATGTATTACAGATTCAGCTCAGAGGTTATTTTACACCCAATAAATATTTGTTTAAGGGTTAAAAGTATAAAACATATCTTGAAGCCACACAATTTGAGACGTTTGAAAGTGGATTACTAAAAATGGTATACCACCAATAATAACAGGCATGAGCAACAATGTTCAGAAAAGAAACACATCTTAGAAGTGAGAAACGTGATTTTCAAAGACAAAAACACATATTTGAGTAAAAATCTCTCTTGAAGGGTTTAGCCATAGATGTTGGTACCTGGCAAAATTCTTCCTCTTTTCTGTATTAATGTGACCTCAATCCAATCCAATTTCCCTTACAATTTAGGTTGCTGACAATTGTTATTTTATTGGATTTTAGGGAAAGCAGGTATGCTCTATTATGATTTTACAGATGGTTTTAATTCTTCAATGACTTCAAAATAAGAGTAAAAATATGATTGCCATGTGGAGACAGAGGAGATGAAAGCACACTGGAAACAAAGACAGTCCCACGGGAAACTCTGTCTGACTGATCCATCCAAGAAAGCAATCACATATATTTTGGGTAATGTCTTCTTCTGCAGGCTGGGATTAACTATTTTTTTCTTTAAACTTCCCATTTGTGACTTTGATGACATCCTTGAAGCTCTTTGATAAGGCATGGTTTGAAAGAAGTGACAAATTTCGAAGGATTCTGCAGTGATTTAACATTCCCAGAACCTTTATCTGCTTCACCAGATGCTTTACTGGTCAAAACATTCATCGCCTTCCTTCCAACGGGACACTTTAACATGTGTTACTCAGGCCCATGACATCAAATGCGCTGTGGTTCATTGAGACATTTCCACACATATCAGCACCAGCGCATCCACAAGCTTTTCTCTTTTCTTTTCCTCTGGAGTTTCAGCAGTCTGTCATTTTGACTGTCTTCTTATTTGTGCATGCATGTAAAGGAATGAACGTGTTACAAATGGCTCTTAGGCTCCCATACATTCCTCTTTGCTTTGCTCAAGTCCTCTGTCTCTTTTCGGGGACCTTTTCATCTGTGTGTTTCAGACGTACTGAAGACAGACTAAATCCAGCCAGTCACCACTCAGTGTTGTAATATAAATTGTGTGCTTTTATTTTGTGTGATGTCCCCTCTGAAAATGTTTTTTTGATTTCACAGTCAATTTCCTTTATTTTAAAACATGAAACCTCCCTGAAAATAGATCAAGCTTCACACGTTTTCATGTCAAGACATCTGTCTGTTTGGAGATCTTCCATGGCAAATCGCTGTGCACTCAAGTGACAAAGATGGCTAAAATAGTATCACCTCTACGCGTCTACAGTTACATCAGACAAGTCCAATACTTCCTCCCACTCCCCAGTTCAGTTGGTCATCCATTGTCTGCCACAAAAGAACTTGACACTTTGAATTGGAGTCTGTGATGGATCGCCTTTGAGGTCAGAAGCCTTCACCGGTATACTGGTTTCATCCCAGCCTAGTCAAGCTTCCAACATTGAATAGGTGGTTCCAACTAGTGTGTGAAGAGACACTGAGCTTCTGTGGGAAAAAAATGCTTTTGATGGCCGGCTGCTCATTTTTATACTGACTGGATGGCTTTGGGGCATGATTTACATGCAGTGTGTGTCTCATTCCCTGTGCATCATACTTTCCACTGCCTTGATTCAGCAAAATGACCAGTGTGGCATTTTTCTTTTAAATCTGTAGCAAAAACAAAATCACTAATAGACACAAGCATGGTATGAGAATAACTCAATAAAGATGAACATGTGCTTACATTTACGGATGGAAATTCTAAATGAATTCAGCATTGTGGCCCTCACCTGCATTAACCTGAAAGAGTTCATTGTCCCAACAAATATATTATCTTACCAACATGACTACAGGCTAACCTTATCCCGGTAGAGGACTCTAAGAATCAAAGGAGCCTCTATATTTTGTGTATTACAGACCTTATCACCATCCCTTGCATCATGAGGGATGTAGCTGTCACAGAGGGAGTTCAACGGTTATCAGATCATTTTTAATTCTAAATGAAGTCAGAATGCTGGTGAAATGACCACAGTCATTTGTGGTTTAATCTCTGTCAGGGCATCAAATCAGCACAGGAAGCGCGTTTCTTTGAGACGTTGTTAAATTCTTGTGATAATGGAAAAATGTTCCACCTTACAATAACCCTCTTTAAAGCGTCTGACTTCCACCCCCTCTATTCATTTCCTATACGAGCCCGACCGCCTTGCAGTAAAAAGGGTCAAGTGCTCAGTTAAAATACACAGTGTATAATTTTATAGCTTTTTCCCAACGGGGCTTCTGGTGCCGGTGTCGAGACGACAATGCGGGAGCAGCAGTGCCGTACTCAGATCAGTTTCATTCTTTGTCAGTCGTGAATAGGGGCGGAGGAAGCAAACTCATTAGAAACCTATAAAAAGAAAGTATCCGAGATCATAAAACAGCCGACTGGAAGACTAAGTGCTCACTCGCAGCCAGACAGAGACTCAGTGGAGACCTGACAAACGCCTCTGATCCTCAGGGCATCAGCGTTTTAACAGATCCACCTCTGAATTGTTTCCCTGCTACACTGGTCTCTCCGTGGCTTTCAAATCACTCTGTCAGGGACCGTTTTTTTCTTCTCTTTTTTTCTTTTTTTAATATTTACGTTTTAGCCACACGCTTGGCTTCATCTCCACTATCTGTTCCAGCCTGGAAAGCGTGGCGCATGGATAGTGCCGGGGCGCACGCTTCTCTCTGACTGAGACATTTCATTTTTGAAATATAAAGTTAAATCCATCCAATATTTTCTTCCTCTCTTCTTTTTTTTTTTCAAAGAAAAACTTTCGAAGCAAAGTATTGTTTTGAGGATGCGCGTCTCCACTTGGAATAGATGTTATGTGGTGATTTTTCTCGTCGCTTCTCTGAGGACAGAAGCATCCCAGGTATCAGAGGCGCGCCCCAAGGCGAACTCCATCAAGCCTGGTCACTTGGAAGGGTCACCGACCCCGGCAACTAACCGCTCCACTGCTGTCACCAAGAAGCACAACATCCTCCCGCAGGTAAGTTCCACCTCAGCTGGAAAACATGTAAAGACGCGTTTTTACGCACGACCAAAGTATGATGCTTAGTCTCCGATTATGTAAACGTTTCAAAACATTTTATTTTGATTACAAAAATAGTAGAATACAAATATGGGCCTCCAAATAAGCTCTCGCTCAATCACGTGTGAGTCGTTATTGGAAATGGCACGGATTGAACCCCTCATAAACCTTAATTGCCTTTCAGACCTGACGCCACACTCGAGTACAGCACACTTCCACAGTAAATCATTAATGCCGGCAGAAATGTGAGAGAAAGTTAACACTTGGGGTTATTTTCTGTCTGGGTCTTAATGTCATTAAAGTGGTCCAGACGCTTGCTGGGATTATGAGATTCTGTGGGGCCTTTGAGGTATACTCTTACCAACTACCTAATACCCACTCAAATAGTTATCAATTCCTGCTGTTCGAACAAAGTACTGTACAATACTGCTGTAGTTTAATATGAAAAAATTAGGCTCAAAGGACGGGATCTTTTTTACAGTATAAAAACTGGCAAATGATTAATTAATCGGCCAGTTAATACAATTTTGGGGGGATTTCCTGTACATATTGCTTGCCGCTTGTGGTTGGTAAAGGAGTGGAAAAAAAAAACCTAACTCATCTCATATTGAATATTTATGTACTGTAAAGTGTGTCCCCCGGGCTATTCATGAAAAGTTGAGAGACTTGTTTTAATGAGGGCTGACCGTGCCTCTCAGTATCCATTTGAGCAGCAGATGGCACTGCCACATATGCAGCACAGCTCCTACAGCAGTCTGTCTGATGCTGGTCGGCTCTCAGCTGTCTGCCAAGACATTTATCATCACTCCACAGCGCACTATACTTGTGAAGTGTGTCGTGGTGAGGGCACATGCATCAAACCGAGGCAGAAGAATTATGGAGAAGGCACACTCTCTCCTCTGTCGAGTGTGGATATCCAACCTCAAGCAAGCCTGCCAAACCTCAATTTGAGCGCCTACTTACATCTTTGCCATTGCAATAATTTAGAGTGGTTTGGAAGAGTGGACTGAGGGGAAACAATATGAGTGTGAAGAGACCACCATAATGTCATGGTGTACTTTAGGGGTGGAGACCTTTACGGTTATATGTGTGTGTTCTGACTAGGAATTTTTCCAGAATTCTAAAGTTACAGCATTTCAGCCTTACTGCTAAAAAAAAAAAAGGCAAACAAGCTGCAACGGCCCTGTAATGGTTAAAAATTCAAGTTAACTCGTCAGCTGTCCTCATGAGGCTTTAATGACCAAATGTTCCATAGATTTAGTTTCGGAGCAATCAGCAGTCTTTACTTTTTGTATACAACTACATTGCCTGTGCCTTCGATTATCTAATTAAAAAGGGCCTTTAATTGGGGGCAAATCACAGAACCCATTACCAAGGCATTTTCTTTCCAGCACTTCACTTTGGGAAACCCAAAATCATTCACCATCACTGGTATTGAACGCTTGCAGGGAGATGTGGAAAATGGCCGTTCAGCGGCTCAAATTCCTCTCTGGGCCGACACATCACAGAAATACTTGCTGCCGATATTCTGCAAATAGATTTATTGTCAAATTGTGGTGTACGTGACTGCTTGAATTTTTATGGGTAGGGCTCGTGAATTGAAACTACTTTGAAGAATTTTGAGAATTTAAAGGGATTGTGACATCATTAGTCACATCTCCCTTTTCTCATTTTAACAGGAACTATTCTCCTCACAGTTACAGTTCATGAAATTACACAAAAGCTAGTCAACATTGTTCCTGTTTGTTTTAATTTTAAGTATGCAAATCACCATGAGAGAGACCAATAAACTTATTATGGACAAGAGGCTTTTCCAGGAGACCAGGATGTAATTAAGAGTTCAGTTATTCATATTGGAGATTCAGGCTTCTTCATGTGCTTTTTAATTTCCAGTAGCCTCCAACAGAGTTTGTAGATTAGGTGAAATTCATCGCTCACAAAATGGGACAGGCTTTTGACTATTTCTCAATGTCAGATGTGGTAACAACCTCTCTCATCACACAAATCTTAAGCAAAACCAACAAATCAAAACCTCTGAGGTCTTAAAGTCAGCTTGGGTGGTACTGGTGGTTGAATGGAAGGGGGCCAACAGAGATGGGCAGGCAGTGCTCACCACCATAAACTCTGAACCCACAAAGGAGCCATTAGTGTGTGTGTAAAACATCAGCTACTGGTCAGCCCAACTTGACTGCTTGCTTTATGTAATTGTTTTTGTCTTTTTTTTAGTTTAACAAGCCATCTCTGACAGCTTCTTTTTTTACACGATAAAAGTAGAACCTTTGAAAATAAAATGACTGTTTAGCTATCTTAACAGGCTGAGAGAGATGAAATAATTAGAGGTGCGCCTGCTTATCAGTGCAAGACTCATTTCCTCTTCCACTGTGTGAGATCTTATTCCGCCTTACAATGGAAACATTAAGACCCTTCCTAGACGTGATTCCACGCTCGTGGCCCTGATGAGAGGGGGAAAGCTGTGAACATCTAAGTTGACAGGATTACACCTTTTACAGCAAACTCACCTCCTAGCTTACCATCAAGAGCTTTTCCTCTTTGCCTCGATAGTCTTTGAAGAAAGGCTTTTTTTGTGCCAACTGAGTCTAATTAACTCAGAATGTATACTTAACATAAGAAGGGTCTAGTTTTTGGAGACTCTGGATTCTAGTCATAAAGGGACAGCGCTATAAACACATGTGTTTTGTATGATGAAAGACGACAAGCTGTGTTTGAAGACATGGTTTGTGTGAGTGACTTGTGCGCAGTCATCCCTATGTTATCTGATACAGGCTGTCTGTGCTTTCAGGGCATATGAAGTCTGTTTATACAGTGACATTGTTTATTTGACTCCTTAAGGCCCCGAGCACTCATTAACACCATTCAAGGCTTCAGGTTACGAGCCCAAGCTCTGAAGGTCACGTGCAATCACGAGACAGAGAGCGAATAAATTAGACAGCAAAAACCAGGTCGGTCAGTAGGGCTTTGTTCTAGACAAAAGTCAGTGGAAGACCAACATGTAAAAACTGGATTATCATTTTCTTTCCCCAACTGTGAAAAAAACTATAATTGTTACGCAACTGAGATCTCTGCACAGTGAAAAGTTGCATTGCAAAGACAGCTGCCACTATTGTCATGGCTCATAAAAATGATCTTTGCCATATGCTGAGGACAGCAGTTCTGGCTGTCTGAGAAGTTTTCATTAGTATCGGTTGGTTGGTTGCATTAGGAGTTCAACTGAGAAATAAAGGTCATAATGTGAAACTGTGTCTTGTACCACTTTAGCCTGTCATGGGAAAATTACAATATCATTAACCTGAACCTTGAAAAATAGTATTTCATTGCTAAACAAGACATACTCACAAGGGCAATTTGGAATGCCCAACCAAGCTAACATGCAGGTTTTTGGATGGTGGGAGGAATGTGGAGAACCCAGAGAGAACCTACACAGATAGAACATGCAAACTCCACACAGAAAGGTCCTGGGGCCCGTGGGACTCAAACCCAGAACCCTCTTGCTGTGAGGCGATGTTGTTAACCACCACACCACCATGCCACCCTCAGTGGAAACAATTTGTTTTCAAATTGAAATGTTTGAGCATGGAAATCAAAGGATATGATAATAATATAAATAATAATAAATAGAAAGAGTATGAAAAGTCCATAGGTACGTGATTGTTTATGAAGGAATTTACCCCCCCCCCTTTTTATCCAGGCTTTAAATCTGACAGTGGTTGATTTGCTGCTTCTTTTTCAACTTTATTTCCCTGTTTGCCTTTGTGCCCAATGCTTAAGCCACAGAACTATTCTGCTATCTTACGCTTTTTGTAATATCTGTCATAATTTTGATGCAGGGTCATGAAAATATCCCCAGCCTCATTTAAAAAAAGTAGGCTTCCTCCTGTGAAAGTGGTGGAAAGGTAGTAAGTCAGAAAAGAAAAATGGTGCGATTGCACTGCTAAAAAAGGGAAAAGAATGCCCACATCCTTTAAAGCCCTTTAATCCCTTCATATGTGTTTATGTGAAAGTCGGCATCATAAAAGTTGTTATCACGTTGATGTCATGTCATGTGGACACTTGTACACTAACAGAATAAAAGCAGCATTTCAGTAGAGTAAAGAGACAAAAGGAATGCTTCCATTGAGTCGTTTTTCAGTCTGGACAGCTCGAGTTTTTAGGGTTTTGCTCAGGTATTGTATTTATCTGACACTGTAGTGAACTAGCAGGTCTGTCAGCGCTTTATACTTTCAGTTAGAAGCAGTAAACAAGCATTAATCTAATTTGTTAAAGTTTGATTTCCTGTTGACCCATGGAGCGATTCTTCATCCCTGTCATTGAGACTGCATGTCATTTGCTTTTATCATGTTTACTGAGGCCACTTGAGGGCTTTGTCAGTTAAGTACAAACACATGTATTTCCAGGGAACTTACTGTTTTGTTTTACTGTCCTGCTGTTGTGGTTTAGTTATCTTACTGTCCCTAGAATTTGGGACGAAACAATACTGGGTCTAAATACATTCTCCATGTTATTTCTGTGCATTACAGAGCACGTCCATGGAATTATATCAGCACTTTGGAATGACTGTACAGAGGTAAATAAGGGATCTGAAAGACCAAGAGAGAGGGTTCAAAGCCCTGTATATCCTGGAGTAAATCCCTTGTAGATTGTTGCTCCCGCACATTTAAGGCTCCTCTTCAAAGCAAGAGTGCATTACCAGCACGAGAGCAACACAAGACAGGACCGGGGGCTTCCCTTATGGACCTCTGTCTGTCTCTTCCTTTATCATTCCACCAGCATATCACGAGACGATTCACAGTACACAGTTTTTAACCCACTTCCTGTCCAAGATCCAAGCGCTCACGCTTTTATGTGTGAAGGCTGTCTGGGTAAAAATAAGGGAGCAACAGAAAGAAGATATGAGATGAGTAAGATGCATCCAAATAAAGCCCCATCCCTCAGAAGTTGCAAACGAGGCGTTTTAAAACATGACAGGATAAGACTGGATTATCAGCTGTGGTTATGGGGTCAGGTATCACGGGGTTTCAAAAGGCTGTCAGGAGCCATGATGGAAGAGGTGAGCCCAGGTCATCATCATCAACATCATCATCATCATCTTCTTGTTCTTCTTCGTCTTCTTCCAACCCAGCTTTTGTTAGTTTTATAAAATGCAAAGTAACTGATACAAAAACGCTGCAAAGAAAGACAGATCACTATCAGAGCAGGTGCTAGAGCTTTTGCTCATGGCGAGACTTATTTGTCTTCATATTCGGATAACAGAACATTTTCTTGACATGGAAATGAATGAATAATTGAATAATCTGAAATATACTTTAAGTCTGTAATATGACGTGTTGTTTTTCGTCTGATGTTGTATTACTTAATTCCAAGATCTTTTTACTATGTCCTTAAATGTCTTAAACATACGTTCTTAGAAGCATGTCTCCTCTCCTTTTGGCTAAATGTGCATCTAAGGCCTTTTTGCCCATTTTCCAAATATTGTACTACATCAGGCCTTTATATTTCCTTTAACATCACATATCTGTAATTAATTTTTTCAGGTCTTGCACATTTGCATTCTGGGAATCTGTCATAATGATGGATGAGCATTTAGTTCAATATTCCTGCTCTTTTTTTTTTTGTTGTTGGCTGTGTCATTGCCTCCATGTGTTTCCAGCAGTGGCGACTATCCAACAAGTCTAATCTTGTTCAGTTTTGGAAGCTGAAGTCCAGGAGGAAGAACTTAGGATGTTTGTTTTCTATATAGCGTGGCCTTCTATCTGCTTACTTTTTATCCCCCAAATGCAGAACCATGTATTCTTCACTCTGATGGAGACATCTAAATCAGATCTGTCAGAGCACTGCCAACTAAATATGGATGTGGTGCTGCTGGCGGTGTGGCAACCAAAATCCGTCTGCAATCTACGTCATTTTCAATGTGAAATTCCTAAGCGTCAGCCAGTTGATCTGCATGTACGATGAGATGTTGTGTATTGCAAATGCCTGGTAACTTTGATCAAGTGTTACACCTCAAAGTTCAACGGAATTGTATCAAAATTAGCTCCACTCTTCGCTTGCCTAAAAAGTTGCCGAGAAGTTGCCAATAACTAATTGATTCTCATCCATGGGTTTTTCCTGCGGCTGTTCAAAACAAATTTTTCCCTGATTAACTCAGTACAAATATGTGACATTGTTTCATTTGTCTGCAGAGCTGATTTAATTTGTAATATAATTTATGCCAAACCCTTTTGCTTCCTGTCCAAGTCTGATGACGATAGGATTTGCATGTGAAAGGAATTATATCGAGACAGTGGTTCCAATAAAACTTCTCACTGCTTTACACAATTGTTATGGAAAAAAAGGGTTCACTTTCATGGTACCTCTCACTGCCAGGGACAGTGGATATTATGTTTACTAAGATGGTTTCTTTTGTCTTCTGATGGGGATTTCAGTGCTCTAAAGGAAAGACCTAAAGGCTCCATGTGTTCTTTGTTGGGCCACACGCTATTTCTCAACCTCTCAGTGTTTGAAAATAGAAAATAATACAAACTAAAGCAAAATAACTATGAAAGACTGTAATTGCTTACTAAAATTGCTCTTCAGTTCTGTCTCATTAAACCTCTGAGCACTTAGCGAGAACAGGGAGAAAGTGAATTAGGGTTATCCGGTTAGGACACACAGAAAAGAGAGCAATTAGTGTAACCTCAAAACATAAGGTTGTTTTTGAAACTTCTAAAAGCCTTCTTATTTTTAGAAGAGTTTCAATAGTTCTTGAGGGGAGCAATTTTAATCTAATTTCTATCAAAGTTAAGGAAAAATTTTGCATTTTCAAAACTGGAAAAAGAAAATCTGAAACCAGTGTAACAATAAAAGGACTCTTGCATCATTAAAGGTTTTTCTGGCTCTGTTCCTCCAAACATTCATTTCCTCATTCTTCTTTGTCAAGGATTGACATTAATTGTTCAAAAATACAGATGATTGAGCTTGCATAAGATTTCCTCTGATTTACTCGCGCTTTGATAAAACACAGCGGTCATAAATCAACACGCTAAATAAATGTGTCCAAGTATAGCTGGAGCTGAGGCTTTCTCAGGTACCGTCTTTAGTCCAAGTAAAACCTCCATTGAGCCGAGTCATTTTTTTTTTTGTAGTGAGTGCAAATCAGGAAGAATGGAGCCGCATGACACAGTCGATTGAGTTTTTCTGTTTTCAGAGGATGGAGTGCAGAGGGAGCCTAAGAGCACTTTGCTCTGCGTGCAATAGGGGCAAAAGTCTGACAACAACAGTGCAAACATGAGCATTTTCATTTCTCCCACATATTTTCCACCTGACTCTTAAATCGCTACAGACAGCTGAGGCAAGTTGACCTCTGCCACAGCTCCCCTAATTAAAATGATAACAAAGGACTGTTTGAAGATTTATAGCTACTTGCTCAGGGTTCTGTTTTTAACCTTTTTACTCCTCGCACTAACACAGATTATTAGTTTATTGAGCCAAAGATCCTATCTCATATGTGCTGAAAATAATCTTCAGCTATGCTATTCTTTAGCAATTTGACATTTGACAAAATGTTTGGCTTCACCAACTACTTAGTCAAGCAATGTTTAGCTGATGTCCCTTTACAGTTTTAACCAACAAAGTCTTAAAGTTAGATTACGTAACCTGGCAATCCTTTTCCTAACTATTGAGGAACCAGCTGGTATACTGGAATTGCAGGTTTTTATCTTTGACCGCTGAATGGCTGCTAGATGACTTAAGATTTTCATTACCAGCAATGATTTTGTAAGTTTCTCTCTTCCTTCATTCCAGGAATTTTTTTGAATGATTCAAAAGCTGGTCCAGCAGCAGGAATTTAGTTTTTTTTTTAAGTTTGGGAAAGTATGCCCTTAACACTAAATATTTCTCTCCAGGAAGCCACAAAGATTAAACTAACAATCATTGCTCTTGATTAAGTACATTTCTGACATAAACTGAGCTGGGCAAAGCAACTGCAATCTCTCTTTCTGGTCATTTCTACTTCTACTGCTGTCACTCACAGGGCGGGGGATGAGGGGCCAAGTTTGATTGTACAAACCACAAGAGTAGCTTAGCCTGTCCGTATACCACGTGCTAAGATATATCTGTTTTCAAGTTTTCCAGTTCTGCTGTGAATCAGGTCAATAAAGGAACTTTCTCAGCAGGTGTATCCATGCAGTAATGACAAGGAGTGCAGTGTGGGGAGCTACTGCCACAGCCCTCAGCAGGCGCCGTCTCGCTGCCTCTCGTGCCGCAGGAGGAAGAGGAGGTGCCACAGAGATGCCATGTGCTGCCCCGGGAACCGCTGCAGTAACTGTGCGTTGGCACACATTCACAATTTTATTTCTGTAGTGACGACACATCCAAATATGTCACAGTTTGTCACATAAAATGCAACTAATATAAGTACAAACATCTATGAAGTACATTATAAAGGCCGCGAGGTTTTTTTGATGATATAGATATGATACATCAACAGGATTCCATTGATATAGTCAACATCTACTTGAATGACACAGAACCATAAACTTTATTTGAATAATGTCCCACTAAGGTCTGGAGATCTAAAATGTTGGCATTTGTATCAGATTGTCTCTCTTCCAATCTAATAACTTCATGGAAACTTTCCTACATGCTTGTGTTGGCATGGGACAATGTTGAGTTGTACTTTAGAATAAACCAGTTTTAAAATCCAAATCAAATTTTAAACTATTTTACTATTTTGTTTTCCAAATCCTATTTTAATGAAAATGTTTGCTGAGATATAAAGTGTTTACCAGACAGTGGCAGCTTTTTATGCAAAATATCTACAAATAACTAGTTTATACATCTTTGCAGGTTGAATCAGGTAAAAGTAAGACATAGATGTGGGATTCAGAAGTATTCATTAAAGTAGAAATGCTCCAATGTCCCACCTCGAGTGCACTGGGTACTCCTAAAAGTACTAATTCCAGGATTTCAAAAATTCCTGTGGTCAGAATGCAGCTAAAGACATGTTACTGATGGGGTCCTTAAACAAGCCAAAATATCACCAAGTTTAGCAGTCTGCTCTGTATTCTCATTAATTTTACTTACATCTCTTCTTCCTTTACACAGATATTTGTGTACCTATCTCTGACAGCGTTCCTTCACCTCACATATCAGCACTAGACGAACACAACAAACTCTCCACCAAAGACAACTGGAGGAAAGGCGGAAAGGCACAAGGAAAACATTCGCTAAAAGGTAAGAATCTATTTTCTGTGAATCTCTTGGACAACGTATTCATCATAAATATTATCTACATTGTTTTGTTTTTTGTCTCACGCAGTTTGTAACAGTTCTCACTGAACTTTGTCTAGGTGGCTTATTACCTCTGTTGTTCATCCTCTGTATGTCATTATTCATTCATGGGCAATGTCAGTTCACAGACTATGCTGATAATTGGCCCTCTGCATGTGTGTCAGCTCTGGTGTGCCAAAAACATAGCACAGGGAGCCAAAAAGAAACCACAATGCCTCCGCTGTTTCTGCACCTACATGAAGCCATTTTAGCAGTTTCACTGACAGCAGCGCGCATTGTGTGATAGTCAAGAAGAAACCACAGAATGCAGGGTTGGCTCAGAGAGCCTCCTGCTTTGTTTACACGTCACCTGATTTAAGTTAATGTTATGGTTCGTCCATAAAGTCTCACTCAACTCTGTATGCACTCACAAGACAGCGGGCTGCTAAACTGAAATCAATGTAAAATAACAGCACTACTTAAGGTCGCAATAAATTCGTCCATTTGCTTTTATGTGTACTTGCCAAAGTCCCTGTTCTTAAACACATGAAGAAAAAGGGTTTTATTTCTTGCCCAGAGGTGCAGTTATGTAAAGAGCATGAAGGATACAAAAAATGGACATTTAGGTCAATACTGTAGACCACTGTTTAAATATAAGGCTACAAAATCATCACAGACTACCCGGGGAACATGACCGTGGAATGCAGCAGGGTGGCGTGGCGCTTTGCAGTATTGCCTCATGGTTCAAATCTTGGCTACAGCCTTCCTGTCTGAAGTTTTCTTGTTTTTTCATGTTTCCCCTGTGGTTTCTCTTCAAGATTTCTACTGCCCAAAACATTCTTGCTATGGGATAACAAGTGATTCTAATTAGCTTTTTTTTTTAAAGAAATTTGAAAAAAAAAATCATTTTTATGGATGCATTTCTTGAAGGGGCATTGTGTAGTATTTCTATTATGTTGTTTGCTAAAATAATTTTCTTAATTTATAAATATGTCCTCATTTGGTGTAAAATTACGTCTGCAATGATCTGACTTCTGACAAACATAGAATTTCCTATCTGTATACTTAGGATGGAGGTTTCCATGCCATTTTGAAAAAAATCACAAACCTCATCACCCCAGAGAAAGCTCGAGGATGTGGAAGTCATGTTGTCATTACTTCTTGATGCATGACCGTAGTTATAACCCCCATTTGAAAACGTGAGGCAGTAGAGAGCACGATTTGTTAGAATGCAAAATACAACTTCACCATTAGATGGGATAAATTCCTACACCGCTAACCCTTAACCAGAACATAACGTACCAGAATGATTCCTATTTTCATTGGGACATGAGAGTACTTGTATACAGTTAGATATAAAGATGGACAACACAGCATATGCAGTCTTTCTGAACTGTGTGGCAGGTCTCATGTAGACCATTGCTTGATCAAAATGAAGATGGGCTTGATATTTGAACTGAAATAACAGTTTGAAATAACTGGGTGAAATATATGTGAAACAGCTTAACAAAAGAAGGTACATGCCTAAATTGTTATAAATGCACATTTGTAGTGGTAAAGCTAAACTGCTCAGAGTGAGTGTTCAGTTGAAATACAGATGATTGTCATAGTTTGCTTGCTGTATTTTCACAGCCTCATGTTTCTGTAGTATTTGACGTGCCAGTATGTAACATGATTTAAGATGAAATGAGAGAAGCCTTGCATAATTATGTCCCAATGGAAAATATAACAGCTTAATGAACAATTATTGTACTTTTCTTTTCCTTTCTTAAAGGAAAGGAAATGTAAATTCTATACATCCAACTTTTTTTTATCCTGGATGGATAACAATTTCTAGCTGGCCTTTTATGTCTCTGATTAAGCATTTGTTTCTGTTTTACCAAATGTGCATGACCCATATTAATCGAGTTTGGAGTTGATCATTTGGGGGTTTAGCACTGCTGATTAACGTCTCTTGTCTTCTCCTGTAAGGGCATGATGGGGACTCGTGCTTGCGCTCGTCTGACTGCTCAGAGGGCTACTGCTGCGCCCGCCATTTCTGGACCAAAATCTGCAAACCGGTGCTCAGGCAGGGAGAGGTGTGCACCAAGCAGAGAAAGAAAGGCTCTCACGGCCTGGAAATCTTCCAGCGCTGCGACTGCGCCAAGGGCCTCTCCTGCAAGGTGTGGAAAGATGCCACCTCCTCCTCCAAGTCCAGGCTCCACATGTGCCAGAAGATCTGAAAGTGAGGCAGCTCTGCCGTCGGCATTGAAGCCTCCGCCTCCATCTGCCAGGGAAAGGTTTTTTTTTTGTCTTAAAGAATGGGTTGTGGTTGTAATGAAAAGGAGCAAAAGACAGAGACTTAACAAAAGACAGAACAGACTTGTGGGTTCAAGCTCACTGTATACGGCAAGTGGAGAACAAATGGGAACGCTTTAACGTGTTTGCTGTGAGTGGCTCCTTTCTGCACCCAGACTCAAACACGCATCCTTACAAAACATATATAAGTATGTACACGTACACATCACATTTTGAGACATTACTGAGCCTAAGTGGGGCTTGCAAAAAAACACAACACAATAAAACAATAAAATGACTTTTATTAAGATTCAGGGAGCCACAAAGATAGCCAGTAGATGTTGTGATAGGTGTGCTATTAAGGTCAGAAGATCACGTACAATCATGAAGTGTGCATTCTTTTTCTCTGAACTCGGAAGTTTAGAAATTTAAAAGATAAATGATATTCCGTGTTTTTATTACATTCACACATTGTACTATTCACGTTCTTTACATAAAGTCTTAAAGAATTAAACTATTTCACTTCACAAAAGATTTACAGTCAGTAACCGTGTCAATACGTTTAAATGAAGAGCTACATGCAGTCACTAATAACTGATTTATGTGTGAGGCCTGATACTCGTAAACCAAAGAATGAGCAAACCTTTACTTTCATCCAGAATGTCAGCTCTTTGCCCTGTTTATAGCCATAAGACAAGAGATAAAGTAGTGTGTGTGTTATTGGAAGCTTGTTTGATCTGTCAGACACAGCTGAGATCAGTTGTGATACAATTGTGTGGCTCAAAACGGATTGCATGGAGGAAAACCTCCACTGCAGACTCAGTGGTACCGATACCAGATGGAGAATGTTTCTGCTTTTCCAATCACATGAACGAGATTCAGGGATATGAAGGAACTGCGATTTTTTTCCACTTCCAAAGCCAGTAAGAATGGAGACGAGGGAAGATTGATTACCAAAAAAAAAAAAAAAAAAGTTTGAAAAACCTGATGCTCTTAATGAGAATTTAACGTTTGAATCAATGTTTTTTTTGACGGCACACAGCCCTGTTTTTAAAGTTGTTGTTACTTTTTCGTTTACTCTTTTTCAAATGTGACTGCATACACTCATTCCATAAGAAAACGTGGAGTTTCATGTCATTGTGGATGTTATTACAGTCCTTCAAACAACCACTGATATTACCACATTTGGCTCCTTTCAACTTGTTATAAGGTATCAATTTCATATATTTTATAATCATCAGCAACATCAATAAGCTCTTTTATTGTAAATAGATTGGAAGCAATATATTTAAGAATCGATGTATATCATGTACAGATAATAACAAATGAATCCTAAACAGTTCAATAAAATGATCTCGGTGGGAAGAGTCATTGGATGAAGCAAGCGCAGTTTAATACATTCAGAAAGGTTTTGTGTATAGAATAATGGGTATTGCATAGCTTTGACAGAGTTTAAGGACTGGATGCTTGAGAGCATAGCTCCTAAAAACATTACTTTCTATAGCATTTTGTGTAAATGGTGTGTAAATGGTGAGAAGAAAATGTGCTGTTTGTGTATTTACAATGTTGGATGAATAAAAAGAATGTATTTTGTATCAGTGGTGACACAGGGCTTGTTATTTCTTTTTCTTTTTTTTTTTACCCGATCAATTAATCAGTTTTCTACAGAAACCGTGTCCCTTTTAAGGTGATAAGGGGGATAGATCAATTCTTCACACCAAGACTGTAAAAATTACAATGCTTTAACTCTCTAACACGTACGCTCATTTCACAGAGTAAGCAACAACTTCAAGAGATATAAACTGAGTCCTGTAATTATAGTTCAGTGCTCTGATGGTGTTTATTTTTAAAGATACAATAAATTCCTTTAACATGCTGAAAGAAATTTGATATGGAAATCGTATTTATAATATTCCCATTTCAGACACTTTGATCAGTTTTTCTCTTCTTTTGAGAAGAAGGCAACTCTCTCAGAGCTTACTTGCGAGGTGTGAGCACTTTCTCCACCACCGATTGTTGGCTTAATATCCAAATTCACAAATCCACCATTTCAGTTTCAGTTAAGTTAAACAAGGTTCGATTTTTTAAAAAATATCTTTCATTTGGAAATTTGAATTTGGAAGTGATGTGAGTAAATATAACGTGCTGTATCAGATCAAATTCTCTATAAAACCTGAGAATAACATACATGAATTTCTATTTACTTTTTGATGGATATGAAGTCCTTTTTGTTTCCTTTTCTTCTTTTAAATGTTGCATAATTGTGGCACTTTTCAATTTCAATTACACGGAAAGTGAACCAGACAACTGCACAGATGGAGCAGATTCAGAATATAAGTCATTCCTTAATTGAGGCCTTATTTAAAGCAACTGTTAGAAGACATCAACTTCATCAGAGCTTTATGGCAAATGACATTGGTGGAATTTTCTATCAGGTGCTTACTTTAGCATTTTCACTTAAAGTACATTTCAAAACCTGCACTTTTTCAATAAAGAAGTTGAAATAGAGCTTCTACTTTCCAAAGGTCTTAATTCTTAAATGAAGAAATTCATTTTCTCTCAGGTGAGGATTTAATCTAGATTTTCAAACCTCTGGAAATAACCCCGGATTGTGACATGGATGTGTATATAAAGCTGGCAATGAAATTTAGCTTGTGTTTTATAGTAAGACTGCAGGGGACTGAAAAAAGCAAGCGGGTCACCAAATTGCCAAATGACTGTGTCTGAATACAAATAAAACTTCATCAAAGCCATCGCAGGCTGTTGCCTTGTAGATGTGATCAACAGACAAAATTGCCCCATGTGTCCCTGTTGCAGTTAAAATATGTTGGGCACACTCAGAAACGCAAAGCAGGCACAGCCTCTTCTTGCGTGCTGGAGTGTAATGAGATCTTACTGAAATTAAACAATTCTTTTCGAGCTATGTCATTGTGCACAATATTTGAATTTCAAAGACTTGATTGTATCACTTTCCACTCTTCCAATCTCTATAAAAAACATTTGTTTGCTAAGAAATGGATCTAATCTAATATAAAATCTATTGAAAAGTGTGTTGGTAATAATAGTTGATGTTCTTTCAGAGCTAAGTTTATATATACTCATTTCATGTAGTTCCAGGACTGCCTACAGAGCTACAATATATTCAATTTGATGTTATCTGTGATTTACAAGCTGTCTGCATTCTGATCAGTAAAAGTATTTTGCCTGTTTGCTGTTGTAAAATTGTTGACGAATGGAGTAAATCCTTATAGACTCATGCATGTTTAGATTTCATGTCAGCTTATTCAATCAATAAATCTCAGAAAAACTTTTTCTTACTACATGGAAAAACCACAAGAGTATATTTAGCATGTCAGTCTTAATTCTAAAGAGCATTTGCAAAAAGGTTTAGGCCCCTTTTCTAAAGATGTTCATTTTAGGTTCCCATTGGTTCATAATTTAACACCACCAACCCCTTGTCCTGATATCGTGTTTTTTCATATAATCATAAGAGGCAGTTTTACCTGAAAGAAAAATAAAAAAATAATTTGATTAAATTCTAAAGAAATCAGAAAAAATAATTAAGTCCCTTTCTGTTATGGTTATGATGGAGCTTGTATTACCTTGTTCAATTAAAGGTGGTTAGAGACAACATAAATAATTTTCTCATATTCTTCAATACTAAAAAGCAGCCGTGTATTCAGATCAAACTATGTGCAGGACTCTTCTCAAAGCTGTGCTTTCAAGTGCAAGCAAGTGTCCACTCCTTTTTCCCCACATGTGCTTTTGATTGAACATAATAACTCTACCATACCTTTGTTTGGATTAGCTTTTTATTTGCTGAAATATTGAATGCTTTTGTGTAATCTCCACAGACACTGGAAACAGTACATTCGGGGTGACTGGAGACTTTGGGTCTCCATGGAAAGAGGAGGTAGATACAAAAAGAAAGCACTTTTCTCCTGTTCCAGGCCACCCACAAGTTTTGCAGTCTACACCAAAAACCTGCTAATGAGAGAGTGACTGTCACTGGGTCTGAACTTTCCAGTGTGTGTCAGCAGAAAATACAAATGAATACAAATGAGGGAGTTCACACAGGCAGGTCTGACTACACATGAAGTTGCCAGCTAAATAAATATGCTAAATGATTCAGTGGAAGCCTTTGAATTTGTGCCTGTGTTTGCATCATGTAAATCATAAATGTAATTTGGGTTTCTATGGCTCGTATAATTTACACTGTGGCAGTGAAGGAAAGTCCTCTCAAGCAAGAAGATGCAGGGATTTTATCATGCCGTCTCCTGTGTCATCGATGCTGAGTCAAACTTACAGGAAGATGATGAAAGTAAAGATGTCATAAGTTTTTTTAAAGAAATATTAGGCTTAGGGGAGTTTTAGTTGACTCATTTTTCTCACTTTACATGTCACTAAAAAGCATAAAGAGCCAGACAAATAAAGTTGTAGTTGATATTTTCTGATCAGGCACAGTCGGTTTTGTTAAATGTCCATACAAGTTATAATTTCAGCATCAAAATCTCTCGGATAAAGACTTGGAAATAATTTGGTAAGGGTTATAATACAGTCTTGGTAAGATTAAAAAGAAGTTAGTTTTCAAGGTGAATTTTAACCCTATGGTGCACTGTTTTTTATAATGAATAGAGGTAACCCATTCCTTGTTGTTACAGGTGTAGTAATCATGTTCAGCGGTTCAGGGTACAAGGTCATGACGTCCAACATATCATAGCTTTGTCAAGACCACCCGGCATCATACATAAAATGTAGGTGATGATGACCGATGGATTAAGAATGACGTTGGTAACTCACCCTGATTTGGGGTAAATTTACAGAGTTATCAGATGATATGAGGGGTTTGAATTATGCTTCTTGTTGTGTACTTGTCTTAATTATCTACAAAAAAGTAAGTCTACTTCTGGAAGTTTCACTTTTATCTTCTCAGCAATGGTCCATGTGATTCTGTTCCAGGACTTTTGTCTGCAAAAGCATGTGGTCCAAGAAGGGAACCATTTAAGATCAGAGGCTATTCAAATAGATGAAACCTCACTGCCAACTCTCCAAATCCCTGGATCCCCACCGGCTCAACCATTGCTTTTTGTCAGGCCTTGGTGTCTGTGCTCCACTGCTACTACAGTGTTGTATTAACTCTGATGGAAATAATGCAGTTTGTGGCACAGTAGTCCAGCTATGTACATACGCTATACTAAGATAGATAAACTGTGAAAGAACATGCCCACTTAAGTATTGCTAACAGGTTTACCGCAATTCATCCACTGGTAACATCACAGTTTCCTTCTAACTATGACATACCAGCGGCATCGTGTTCAGATTTAGTTTTTTAAGTGGCCCCTTGTTGCAAGCCAGTCGTATTCCTTGGGGTTGGTTGCATATTTAGTAGATTACCCACCCTTTTATCTTCCTTCTGTTAATATTCTGTCTGATGTGGTCAGGATTATGTAAATATTTTACTAGATATGTTTTCAGACAAAATAACTCTGCTTTGAAAGTCGATCTGATGAGAGGAAAGATTGCCTAAATTACCAGCACATCCTTAAAAGCACATTCAGAATGATTAGATATGCAACCAGAATGATACAAGATGTTAAAAAATCCATTCCCAGGACTTGTGAAGTGGAGGTTTCAAGTTTCCACATCTCACTTCTGAACATTGTGCGTTAGACCATGACCTCTAAGCCATGCTGGATGTTTCAAATGGATGCTTATATAAACGAGCACATGAATAAGTAACAGTAAACCACACACAGTGTGAGCAGGGGAGCACGTTTTGTTCTGCAACATGTGGACAAAGTTGTTCGTCAGGTTAGCCTTAACGCCAGTGAACTGATCCCCACAACATGTGTGTACTCCTCTCTCTGTCCTGCTCTCACAACTTTTCAGACCGCTCCTCATGACTTACTACATCCTTTTGGAATGTAATCACAAACAATTTTACAGCTTTGAAAAGGTATTATTGTGTGAAATTGACATTTGAAAACCAGTCATTAAAATGTTTATTTTGAGACACATTTTTTGGTCCCAATAAACACAACAGACAAACAATGGAGGGATGGATGGATCTCTGGATGGATGAACGGGTCTTTTGTGGTAACAGAGGCTGCCAAATGGGACATATCCTTTTTTATTAACCTCTCTTGTTTTTTTTCAGTCAGAATTTTCAAAGGTTGAGTCTCTTCATAATATGCTCTTTCTTTTTATTGGCATTATTTTAATCTACCATCTGCATGTATCTGGGAAGACTCGAGGTGCCATATACGATAAGAGATGTATCCCATCAAAATGAGGCCAAGATGCTAAGAGAGGAATGCTGGCTGAAATTCAAAAATGTCCTTTCATTCCATATATCTATTTTATGATTTCGTTCATTTTGTATTTTGTGGTTTTGATCATCAATTTTTTTTCTGCAGAGAAAAACAAACCAATTCAGTAAAAATCTAAACGAAGACAAACAATTAACTTCAAATGGATGTCAAGCAGATGTCCCTAATTTCGTGACTAAGTTATGAATAAACAATATATTACAGATAGAAAATATAATATAATATAGAACTTACATTAGAAATTACTTAGGATTTAAAGAAGAGATCTGGA